ACTCGGGCATGTGCCCCAACCGGGAACTGAACTGTGACCTCCTGGCTCATAGATCAACCACTGAGCCATGCGGGCCAGGCTATACTTTTAATTCCAGTCCTGAAGGAGTGCCGTGGGAATACTTGGTGATTCTCCTCTGCAGGAGGACACACAGCCCCACCTTTGGGCACCCTGGACAGTGGTGACCGCTCCTGACCGCACTTGGCCGGAATGCAGGGGACACTCTCTCTGCTGGTTGCTAGTGAAGCCCGAGCTGCTGACCCCTCCCCACCCCCTGCAAGGTTCTCAGGGCTTCTTTGAAGTGTGTTGTTAGCTTACAGTGAGGGCTGATGATCCGCCTGAAATCACACAGCGTGGGGAGAGAACACTCTCCAGTCTGAGACGCACACGCATGGCCGCGGGGAAGCGTAGTCGGCCGTCTCGCTGAGGAGAGGCTGCCAAGAAGAGGGACGCTGTCGCCAAGAACCGGAAATTGCAGGCCAGTGTCTCACGCTGTCTTATTTTTTTTTTTTTTCTTTTCAAAATGCCAGGAAAAGAAAATTCCATGAAGTAATTCCCTTAGTAGAAATCAGGGGTGTTGGTATTTTCTTTATATTTCACTAAATATAAAGAAACATGGCCCCACTGCTGTCCTGTCCTGGCTCACAGAGGGCACTCAGTCAACACTTGTTTAGGGAAGGAAGGAAGGAAGGAAGGAAGGAAGGAAGGAAGGAAGGAAGGAAGGGAGGGAGGGAGGGAGGGAGGGAGGGAGGGAGGGAGGGAGGGAGGGAGGGAGGGAGGGAGGAAGGGAGGAAGGGAGGAAGGGAAAGGGAAGGGAAGGGAAGGAAAGAAGGGAGGAAGGGAGGGAGGAAGAGGGAAGGGAGGGAGGAAGGGAGGGAGGAAGGGAGGGAGGGAGGAAGGGAGGGAAGAGAGGGGGGAGGGAGGAAGGGAGGGAGGGAGAAAGGGAGGGAAGAGAGGGGGGAGGGAGGAAGGGAGGGAGGAAGGGAGGGAGGGAGAAAGGGAGGGAAGAGAGGGGGGAGGGAGGGAAGGAGGGGAAGGGAAGGGAAGAAGGGAGGGAGGGAGGAAGGGAGGGAGGAAGGGAGGGAGGGAGGGAGGGAAGGAGGGGAAGGGAAGGGAAGGAGGGAGGAAGAGAGGGAGGAGAGGAGAGGGGAGGAATGGAAAGTTGTGACACGAGTGACTTCAGAAATTCCTGACACATGTGACACTTATCCTTCTCTGACTGGCTTATTTCGCTCAGCATCATACTCTCCAGGTGACCTCACTCATATGTGGAACCTAATGAAAAAAATAAACTGACAAACAAAATAGATCCAGAGACATGGAAGCATGCAACAGACGGATGAATCTCAGAGTTCAGAGGAATTGGGGTTGGGGAGAGGTTAACCAAAGAACTCATATGCGTATATGCATAACTCATGGACACAGACAATAGTGTGGTGAAGTCAGGGCGGGGGGGGGGGGGGGTTGGTGAGAGTGGGGGGAAAAGGAGGGACATCTGTAATATTTACAACAATAAAGATAAATTTTAAAAAAGAAAAGAAGTTCCAGAGACAGTTAAACTCCTTTGTGTCTGCACCTAGTCAGTTCCCACAGCAAGAATTCCAAGCATCAAACACCCAATCCTCGAGTCCATCCTCCGAGTGTATCTCAGAAATGAGAACTGCACTAGCCGGTTTGGCTCAGCGGATAGAGCATCGGCCTGCGGACTCAAGGGACCCAGGTTCGATTCCAGGCAAGGGCATGTACCTTGGTTGTGAGCACATCCCCAGTAGGGGGTGTGCAGGAGGCAGCTGATCGATGTTTCTCTCTCATCGATGTTTCTAACTCTATCCCTCTCCCCTCTTTTCTGTAAAAAATCAATAAAATATATAAATATAATTTAAAAAAAAGAAATGAGAACTGTACTACGATGAGGACGGACTTTATTCAAGTCCACCAGTCAGCAGACTGGACAGCTCGGGGCGGCGGCAGAAAGCACTGCGAACACAGCCCCTATTAACTCGAGTGGCTCAGAGCCCTCCAAAGCCAGCCAGACACTCACTCCCAGCAAGATGAGCTTGGGAGGAAAGGTATGTGAGAGACCAGGAACGGAAACACAGTCACACCAGTCTTACTACTCTTCTATTTATAGACCAGAGGAAAGATACGTTAAAAACTGTACACTTATTTTTTTTTACCCTCAATTTATGAAATCAAGTGTTCTGCGTTTCTCGCAGCCTTGTTAGAAAATGGGCACAGTGTCTAGCACCAGGCTCTCCAGGGTGAGCGGGAGAGCTGTGACAGCCCCAAGCGAGGGCAGTGTGCCAGGTAGGGATGAATTTAAATGAGGACCCTGTGCGCCTCCTCTGCAGAAGCCTCCAACGTCACCTGGAAGAATAGGGGCTGAAGGCAGAATGGGGGTTGGGGTGGCCCTTGGGGTCAGTGGTGTTCACAGCCGGCTGCAGTGTGACAGTCGGCAGCACCACAGCCCGGGAAGTCTTCGGGTTTGGGGAGCACATGATTTGGGTTTTTAATTAAATTCCACTTCCAGAACTCCACAGAGAAGAAATCGTTCTAAATTCTTATAAACAAAACTTCTGAGCTGTAAAAACAACATGAAAAGATTCTACTGAGAGTATTTACTTTAAAAAGGATTGTGAAATTGATTCACTCGTGTTCCCAATCGGCAAAACGACATTTAAATATGATTGGAAATCTCATAAACCAATTTCGCCTACACTGTCCGGCATGGGCCTCCCTCTCCTGGTCGCCTGTCTTGCAGGGTGGCTCCACTGCCTCCCAGATGACCAACAAAAACTTGGGAATTGTCTCTGCTGGGTGATAAGAGCCCTAACACTCAACCAGAGGCGATTTGGCTCTTTGGGGACATTTGGCAACACCTGAGGACACTGTTGGTTGTCGACCCCAGAAGGGAGTCATGGGGAGGGAGGGAGTGCTACTGATACTTAGCGGATAGAGGCCAGAAACACAGCTTAGCATCCCACAAAGCACAGGACAGATCCCACACTACAGAGAATCCAGTCCAAAATGTCAACAGCACCGAGGTTCAGAAACACTGCTTACAAAGAGCTTACTGTGTACTACACTGTTCTGAGTATTTTATATTTCTATCAACTCATTTAACCCAACACTAGGAGAGAGGTACCATTATCACCCCCATTATGCAGATGAGGAAACCGAGGCTCAGAGAAATGAAGTAACTGGATCAAGATCACACAGCTAGTAGGTGTGCTACGTTCAAATGGGGCCCAGGCCACCTGGTCCAGAGGCTATGCTGTCACACGACTCCGCATGGCCTCCCTTGCCTCACTCTGAGCCAACCTCTTTCCAGCCCTCATTCACTCCATCACTCTGTCCCGTTCAGGCCTGCGTCTTCTCCCCCTGGGCCGTAGCAATGGTCTCCCTGCTTCCAGCTCCACAGCCCTGCTTCCTCCCAGCCCCAGAGGGAGGTCAAAAACCCAAATCTGATCCCACCTCTACCCCCCGCCTAAAGCCCAAACTCTTCCAGTGGTGTCTGAGCTCTGGTGGGAATCATTCCTCTCCAGCCTTCTCCTGCCTCCCAACCCCCTGCCCATCATTAACACTGCTGTGCTGTTTCCACCTCCCTGCAGCTACTCTGCCTACAGTGCCCACCCCCATTTACTTACCTGGGAAATACCTACTGACCCTTCAACTATCAGTCCCAGCGTCACCTCCCCCAGGAAACCCCAGGAAACCGTCTCTGAACATCCCAGCCCCTCAGGTACAACGGACCCCTCCCTTCTTTTACCATTTACTTCCACAGCCTTTATTCAATATTATTGCCCTTTTCCTTGCTTTCAAGTCTGTGCCCCAAGGGCAGGGGCTTTGTGTTGTCTTACTTACCTCTGAAATCTAGCCAAGTCACTAAGCCTTCACTCAGCAAGTATCAATGAATGAAAGATGAAATATCCCACAGGGCTTGAATTCCTTCTTACATGAAGCAGAAGTCAATTTCGGCAATGCCTTGACACAAGATCTAGCCATGTGCCCAGAACACCAGGGGTAGCCTCTGGCCACTAAGATAATTATCATCACCCTTCCCCTTTGAGTCCCCTTCCCCAGACTGTACATCTCAGCTTCTCTCCGCTTCCTAAATGACATGGTTTCAAGAGAACTCATGGCCTTACAGGGTGTACTGAATTCCTGAGCAAACCCAAATCGCAAGGGGAGAAGCTGGCCACATTTGGAAAGATTCTTGAGATGCTATTTAAAGTGCACTTTAAATCAGGGGGTCTCAAGCTCAAGTGTCTATGGGTGAGGCATGTGAGGCCCATGAAAGAGGTAGGCAGGTGCTGCTGAAATAGAGAGAAGAGGCTATCAATGGCCCGAGTGTTCTCTCACCTCCAGGGTTGCTGCAACGTAGGCCAGGTTGCCAGGTCTTTGAATGTTTTGAGAAAAGCTAAAAATTTGCATTTTTACACAAGGTTTTTTGATACTGGTAACTTTTTTATTTTTTAATCAACAACATTTGAGCCAAACCAACTGCATTTGGGGACCAGCTCTGGCTGCAGGCTGTCCACTTGAGGCTTTGGCTTTAACTAAAGATTGCTTGAGCACCCAGCCAGTGTGGTTCAGTGGTTTGGCATCGACCTATGAACCAGGAGGTCACAGTTTCATTCCCAGTCAGGGCACATGCCTGGGCTTTGGGCTTGATCCCTAGCAGGGGGAGTGCAGGAGGCTGTTGATCAATGAGTCTCTCTCATCATTGATGTTTCTATCTCTCTCCCTCTCCCTTCCTCTCTGAAATCAATAAAAAAAAAATAGAGTTGCTCAAGCGATTCCTAAATATAAGTTTTTGTATTTAGTGTTGGAAGTGTGCATAGATATATTGAGGGTTGTGGATAAGGCAGAATTTAAATTTAAAGTTAAGCTAGAAGACTAGGGTTAAAAATAACTTGGAGGCATAAATCACCAAAGAGGGTGGGAAAACAGGGAGCCTTCCTAACCGGCGTTCAAAGGCAAGGCAGAGACACACTTACCCGTCAGCAGACCCATTTCCATCAAGGACTGGAACAAGCTGGGGTGCTGGGCTCTCAGCTCCTTCCCCCAGGGGAAGGCTCTGCACATGGAGGGTCTCCCGTACCTGCGCCTCAGGTCCAAGTAGGAGTTCCGCAGGTCACCTGCAGGAGAGGGAAGCATAAGATACCACTCCCCTTAGGACGGGGTAAGTCTCACCTCTCTGCACCCTTTCCCCCTAAGGGGAACTAGAAATAAGAGGTCAGATGTACCATTACTGGGCATGGGTTGGGCTGCATTAGGGATTTGAAATTGGTACGATGCCTTTGCCTTGAGGTCACAAATTCAAAGCCAAGTCCGAGGGAAATGTGCCAAAGTTGCTGATGGCTGTTGAATAATTCTACAGAATGAGCAGCTGGCCTCGGACTGGTCCCCAGGAGGCCAATATCTAGGCCATTTTGTTGGCAGTGTGAGCTGAGGAGCAAAGTCCAACGATCCCCAGGGACACAAGGCGGTAGATGGTAGAAAAATCATCCCAATGCCCCAAACAGATCAGCATGCAAGGCTGGCCTGCCCACGCAGGCTACCTCTCCTACAATGTCATCAGCTATCAATACCAGTTTCTTTCCTGCTCAGGACATTCCTATTCCTATATATCTCCCCCCTCTTCTGACAGCATCGTATTTTCTGGGTGATTCAGCAGTGAGAGCAGTAGCTGGGGACCAGTATAGCCTATTCTTAAATCGAATTGCAGAAGAGACGTCTTTCCACATTTACCTATCGCCACCTCCAATCACTCCCCGGGACCGTGCTATGCAAACCCTATGGGACTGGGGTATGTTCATGACACATCCATTCCTCCCTGGCCTGAAACGGGAAGTTCAGTTCTGGAGATGATGAGATATGGGGCAGCACTGAAATACTCAATTTGCTTTTGCTGATGGCAAAGGCCCCAGAGGAACTTCTCTTCCAGAAGGAACATATGTGACTAACTCTATTGCCACCACATCAAGCAGGAAGATCCCTAGCACAGAGAAATTGCTAAGTGCCAGATCCGAGCTGGAACGTTGGAAGACAAGACGAGACCCGTTTTATAACAGAAACACACCCCATATGAGTGAAAGGATGTCCGCGCAACTCTGAGCAGGCACGAAAGCCTTCTATTTGAAACTCATTCCTTCTGTTACAAATTACCGATGTCTTCCAGCATGAGTCGATTTCAAGGATTGAAAAAATAAAACCGAGCCCCGAACAACAAAGTCATTGTTCAACACTTCTGAAAGCTAATATTCAGATATTAATGGTCCAAGACAGAAGTGCACCGATGGGGAAACGTTTCTAATGATTAATTTATTTTCCAATTCATTTTTATTTTCTTAGACCGGCCTCAGATCCCTTTCTGAATGGGAATAATGAAATGTGAGGCTCAAAACACTTCCCTTTGTGCATTTAAGCTAAACCACGTACAGTTAAAGCTATGAGGCAGGTTGGGCTGTTGTTGGCCGTTGGTCTGGTTGGAATCCAGGTGGAATGGACACTTTCCCTTGCATCTGTCTGCAGAGGTCATACTTCTCCCCATCGATCAAGTCATATATGTTCTATTCCAACCCCGTCAGAAAGAAGCCAAATGTGTTGACACAGATGCACAGAGCTAAAGATTGCTCTCCTGGCCCGGGTGGCATGGCTCAATGGTTGGGCATCGACCAACCAGGAAGTCACAGTTCGATTCCCGGCCAGGGCACATGCCCGGGTTTCGGGCTCAATCTGCAGTACGGGGAGTTCAAGGGGCAGCCGATCAATGACTCTCTCTCATCATTGATGTTTCTATCTCTCTCTCCCTCTCCCTTCCTCTCTCTGAAATCAATAAAAATATATTTTTTAAAAAAAAGATAGCTCTCCTGAAGCTCAATACTTACATGCTTCTTGGCTCCTGCTGCCTTGTTGTACTGTGGATGCGTACACAGACACTATTTCTTGAACTTCTGCACACCTTTCGTAATATAACTTGATTTGTTCAGCAAGTTGTTTCTCAAGGAGGGGATTAAAAATCTATAAGAAGGCAAGAAAATCAAGTGATCAATTGTCATCAAACAAATACCTACGAGGCTGTGTCCGGGTTGATGTCCTTCTCCCTCTGACATTACCAGCTGGCTTGTTTGGACTCAGATCATTCAATCTGGGTTTGCAAAGGGAGGATGTAATTCAAGGACACTCTGGCTCTGGTCACTTCCTCCTGGCTTCTTTCTGTGGCATCTTCTCCCCCGCAGAGCTTCTTAAATGCCAGGCTTTCCCAGAGGCCAGGCCTCCATGCTCTCCTTGCTCCCCACCACATGCTGTCCCCAGAAAATCATATTCCTCTCCCCTTCAGTTCTCAAGGGACAGGAAGTCTACCTGTGCTGTGCAGCTGACTGGGAGCCCTTCTCCTGTTTTCTTCTGCTTGGCAGGCTCTTACTCAACTTTCAAGGGGCAGATTCAAGGTCATCACTTCCGGGAAGCTTCCCTAACAGCCTACCCCACCCTCACCTGGTTGCCTATAGCCATGTTCCCACGTCGGTGCTCCCAAACACTGTGCTCACATCTGAATGAATGCACAGACCACATTCTTTCATGACATATTTGCTTAAGAGAGATAAGGAAGCGCCTTAAGAAAAAAGGCCTGTCTCATGGCCTGACCAGTGTGGCTCAGTGGTTGAGCCAGGAGGTCACGATTCAATTCCCAGTCAGGTCACATGCCAAGGTTGCGGGCACAATCCCCTGGGGAAGAAGGGGGTGTGCAGGAGGCAGTTGATCAATGATTCTCTTACATCATTGATGTGTCTATCTCTCTCTCCCTTTCCCTTCCTCTCTGAAATCAATATATATATAAAGGCCTGTTCCAACTCAGTGGTTTTCAAAATATAGGTTGTGGCAGTGGTTCTCAACCTTCCTAGTACCATGACCCTTTAATACAGTTCCTCATGTTGTGGTGACCCCCAACCATAAAATTATTTTCATTGCTACTTCATAACTGTAATTTTTCTACTGTTATGAATCATAATGTAAATATCTGATATGCTATATGTGTTTTCTGATGGTCGCGACCCACAGGTTGAGAACCGCTGCATTAGAGGGTTATGAAATCACTTTAGTGGCTGTCACAAGCAGTGATTTTTAGAAAAATAAAACACAAAATATCTGAGTACACTGAACGTAGCAAGGGTGTGTATATGTATGTGTATATATGTATATGTGTGTGTATATATGGGCATACATATGTACTGTTCATGATATTAAATTTCTTATTGTGGACCACCTTCAAAAAACAAGTTTGAAAGCTACTATCTTTATTTTTTTTTCCAATTAGCAATAATCGCACCTTGGATAAACCTCATTGGCTACAATATTGCCACTGAGCAAAGCTGAAAGCTACTATCTTAATTAACCTTGGACTCCTCAGCACCTGGCACAGAGCCTGGCACAGAGTAGGTGTTCAATAAGTATTTTCCACACAAATGAATAAATCTCATTTTTTCCTCTTCATAAAGGTCTCTCACTTGGGGTTCTAAGATGCACCCATGGGTGGGAAGGATCTAAATTTTCCTCAATGACTTTGTCTAGTGCCTCTTGCTTTTTCCAGAACAAACCTCACAGGGTCACAGGAATGAAAGAAAGTTCCTTTTTCAGGCATTCAGTGATCTCTTTACAAAGGCAGAGAAAACAATGGCTGTGAAGGCCGTTGTGGGGCAGCCTCCTCCCTGGGCAGCAGCACTGTGGGCAGGCCTGGACACTGGACAGTGCACCTGGGGGTGGGTTTGGAGGTGAGAGCCATTCAACAGCAGCTATGAAGCCCTCTGGGCTGGCCACCTGAGTGTGAGCCGGAGGCCCGAGTTTCTGAAGGGCGTGGTGAACAGAACCTCATCTGCTAGCGAGGCTGCTCTGTTGCTCCTTTAAAAAATGGCATCTAGAGGAAGCTTTACCAAATAACTAAGACTCTTTCCTTTCATTAGTTTAATCACTGGATGGGCAACAGCCTGATAAAAACCTACTCTATAATTAATCCAGTGGTTATTAAAACAGAGGAAGTAAATGGTTTCCATTTTATGAGTACTAAATGAACCAAACATTAACAGAAATCTATTATCGTGTTAGCTAGGGGAAACGACTCAATATTAATAATGTTTGGTGACAGAGCCGATGAGAGATCCCGCTTAAATAAATCTTTTGTTTACACACGGTTCCAGGCCTGAGCCACACGCCCGTGAGCACCCACAAACTTTGCCTCGATCCCTAGGGCTTACCTGTGCAGGGTGCAGAGTGCGGAGACGGTAGTATTTCAGAGGTCCGAAAAACCCTGCAATGCCGGCCACATACCTGCTCCCTCCGATAATGAAGTACCCAGCAGTGTCATTATAATGGAAGTCCTCCAGGAATCTACAGAAAAACACAAAGGCTCTGTGTTTGAACCAGATTTTGAAAAAGAAACTCTTGCATTGACCCTCATTAACTTACTCCAAAGTCCCATAGGCCCTTCACTCTGAGTTCTAGCAGATGAGATGATGGTGGAGTTAGGCAGGCTTGGGCTATGATTCTGCCCTTTACCAGCTGTGTGATCTTGGACCAGTCGCTTAACCTCCCTGGGACTGAGTTTTCTCATTAGTAAATTAGCTCCTCACTTATAGGATCGTTAAAAGAATTAAGTGAATAGAAAGACATAAAACGTCTAGCCGAGTGCCTGGCTTACTATCAAAAAGGAATGGCTATTGAGATGGGTGAAACTGTTTGGAATCATTAAAATTATTTGGAATTGCTGGCCACAACAGGAACTATTTCACTCTAAAAGAAAAAAAAAACCAACTTGTTGAATGGATAGAAGGCATCTGTGGAGGAAAACTAAAAACATATCCTATTAAATAAGAACCTATGTAAATTCAGTTAGGAGGAGGAGGCCACAGCAAGGTTAAAGGTCTTGGCCAAAGACAAAAGGTCAGCACAAGTGACACAATGAAAGTCCACTTTGTCCTCAAAGACTCAAAGGATCAGGAAGGAAAATGGAAGAAGAACAGGGTTAGCACAAATAAAATGCTCAAAGCTGTTCCTTGCGACCTTGATTATATTCGCCAGAGACTGGCGAACTCCAGATGTCTGTCAGTGAGGACTGACCACGCCCGTCCGGGGGCCTGACCGTGCGCTCTCTCCCTACACAGCTTAAATAAGGGATGAGGGCTCAGTGGACTGACCTGGAGAGAGCTCCAAAATTCACTGCTAAGTGAAAATATGAAAACAAAAGTGCAGAACAAAGGGTATACTTTTAACCTAGGAAAGAGGAAAATGAATATATATTTTATTGATTTGCATAAAAACTTTGTAAGTATACAGGAAACAAATACAATATTTCCTCATGGCACAGGGTGCCCTTGGGGATGTTAGGGTGGAATGGATGGGGGTAGAGAGAGAAGCAAGACATCTAACTGTATACCTGTTCATATAATTTTATTTTTTTTAAAACCATGTGTATTAATTGCCTATTTCTTTAAAAATTAAAATAGGAAAGGTGCAATGAGAGCATATGTGAACAGCAAGTGGGTGGGGGTGGACATCAAGCCAGGCAAAGAGCAAAGAGCCAGGAAGCATAGAGGGCAGATGGAAGCAGAAAGAAAGAGCATAAAATGTCAGGCAGGCCGCCAGGAGCCCAGCGAGCCACAGGGGCAACAGGCCAGGGTGATGCTCATGGGGACAGAGAAAGCTACCAGTGCCTGGATCAAAAAAAGCCAAGCAAGGTGAAGGGAGGGGAGAGGGGGGAGATGGACTGACTGTTAGCAAGGAACCTGACCCTTAGCAGGCACACCTGGCTGGAGAGGGAGACAAAAGAGTGACGAGATGGGCCCGAGATGGGCCCGTGCAGACAGCACCAACTGAGGGCAGTTGGAATGAGCGCTCCGGAATGCTCTGTAGACAAAGGCAAATCACATGGAAAAGAAGTGCTTCCTCTCCCGTTAGTTCTCTTTGCAGAATCTCAGAATTGAGGGGCCAGGAGAAGATGACGGTCTCCTCTCCCGACTTTTTTTAGGTGGGACCACAAAGTTATCATCTAAGAGCGTACACTGACTCTGTTTTTCAAGGAAAGACTTGAACTGCCCTCCTGAGACAATCCCCAGCACTCCGTGGATACCAAGCAATGCTTCTGGAGTAAAAGCTCTCAGGAACTCTGCTTAACCAGCCCGCCCGCTCCCCTGATGGCCCATTTCTGCATGCTGGAGCCTTGTTTCTCATTTTATCAATGGGATAAATATAATAATAATACCTGTCTACAGGGTTGTTGAGAGGATTCAATGAACTAGGATTTAAACAAAGCATTTAGAACAGTGCCTGGCACATAGTAGGCACCATAACTTCATGATTATTATTATTAACCTAGTCCACTGTTGGACTTTTTCTACCACCGCTTGAGTGACATGCTTAGTACAAGTCAGATGTGTTTGTTTCCAAACATGTTAATGTCAATTGTATGGTCACTTAATTGTACAATATAATTAAATATTATGTTCCCCAATAAAATTTGGGTGGGGCAGAAGTTCATTCTGTAAGAAAAGAAGTTGTTCATTCTGAGTTGAAAACTTCGAGGAGGCTAGGTTAAAAAATGGTTACTGCTCAGACAGCGTGGCTCAGTGATTGAGCATTGACCTATAAACCAGGAGGTCATAGTTCAATTCCCCGTCAGGGCACATGCCAGGGTTGTGGGTTTGATCCCCAGTGTGGGGCATGCAGGAGGCAGCCGATCAATGATTCTCTCTCATCACTGATGTTTCTATCTATAACTCCCTCTCCCTTCCTCTCTGAAAAAAAAAAAAAAAGTTACTAAAAATTGTTGTGGAAGTAGGACAATTGTAAAAGGTTGGAAAAAGAAATCGAAGACATCTAGATGGATTTTAGGCTCTGATCATTTTACAAGTGTCTTTGTTTTCTTTTCATTGGGAGAAACAGACACTGCATGCCGTTTACTCAAAAGATCAGAGAGAACTCTGATCGGGAGATTCATATTCAAAGGAAAGGCCCTACCTGGAAAGACTGGCAATGGTTGTACATTTCTATCTTTTAATTAAAATCAAATGGTTAAGGTATCTTTTTAAAATAAAACTTTGCTTTAACTGAAGTTGACCAATAAATTACTTGGTGCCTATGGTACTGGGTTATGTTTTTTAGTTTTTCATCATGATTATAATATAACCAAATAGGAGATCTTTCCAGCCTGGTCTCCAACATTTTTCTCCTCTAAAATCCTCAGAGGCTGCACAAACATTGCAAGTGGTTCCTTGATGGGTGCACTGCATGATGGTCATCCGTTTCTCTGACATAAGAGCTGAGCTGGATCTTCTAGAGCCCAGGCCGGTCCCTTTCGAAAACCTCAGACACACCAGCAGACGTCTACTCTCATCTGGACGTGGGAGAGCTTCCTGGGTTATGACTGCAGAGCATGGGCAGCCAATGCTGTTAAACAGACCTCACTCAGGATCAGGAAACAGCCCCAGCCCAAGGGGGCTTTCAGAAGGGAACTTAGAGCTGCCAGTTAGCTGCCCCCTCACTCCTTAGAGTAATTCTCATCTTTAATGTCATTCCCTCGGGACCTGCTCTAAATGCTGACCCTTGTCATCTTCGTAGGCTGCCTTACTCCTTTTCTTCCCAGCATTCACCACAATTTGTCATTTTAAATTTATTTGTGACTTTATCTGTCGAAGATCTGTCTCCCCCACTAGACTTCTTAGCTCCAGGAAGGCAGGGACTGACTATATTTAGTCCGAGTCCAGCACTGTGTCTGCCACATGGCCGCTGTGTTGAATGAGTGAATATAAACTAGAGGGTGGATGGATGGATGGATGGACAGACGGATGGATGGATGGATGAGTGAATGGATGAATGGATGGATAGACGGATAGATGGATGAGTGGATGGATGGATGGATGGACAGACGGATGGATGGATGAGTGGATGGATGAATGGATGGACAGACGGATGGATGGATGAGTGGATGGATGGATGGATGGACAGACGGATGGATGGATGGATGAGTGGATGGATGGATGGATGGATGGATGGACGGATGGATGGATGAGTGGATGGATGAATGGATGGATGGACAGGTGAGTGAATTCGACACTATACGGGTCTGCAGTTGTTACCTGCCACCAAGTGTTACTAGCAGTCTTTCATGCATGGGTAGCACTGCACTTTTGAGCACTTAGTTACTGACCTTCCTAAACCAATGTTGTGGGAGAGCAGCTACCATTATGTTTGTACTTCAAGAACAAATAGAAAAAAAAGGTGAAGAAGCTTTCCTTGGAACCTCTAGAAACATCTGGACTATTCAGTCCACTGGCTTGGCCCACTCTGAAAGTGCAATTCCAAATATCTAATCACAAGGATCCCAATGGGCCTGGAGTTAACTCTTTAGTTTGATGGGAGAGGTTCCAGGGATCAGGGAAGAGCAGCTGAGGTGGTGGGGAGGGCACTCCTGGGTGCGGGCACTGCCAATATTGCCAAGTAAGGAGTCACTTTGGTGTTTTACCTGGGATGTTGGAATGGTATGTATATACCGGGAAACCAGCCCTCATCTCTACAATCTTCTATGACCACACTGATTTTGTCTTTCCTTAATATTGTGATATTCTGTTCATTATGGATTCTTGACATTAATTTTGATTGTAGAAAATAGTGTAGTAAATGTTAGTTACCGTGATTATTGTTATGAGTTGAATTGTACCCCCCCCCCCAACATTCATATGTTGAAGTCTGAACTCCCAAAGGCCTCATAATGTGGCCCTATTGGAAATAGGTCATTGCAGATGTAGTAAGTTAAGAGAAGGCCATGCTGGGAGCCCTTAATCCCATGTGACTGGGGTCCTCAGAATCAGAGGAACTTTGGGCAAAGACAGACACACACACCATGTGCACAACATGTGAACACCATGTGAAGATTAGAGTTATGCTGCCCATGTCAAAGAACTGCCAGGGCTGGGAAAGAGGTCTGGGTCAGACCCTTCTCTGGAGCCTTCAGAGGGAGCATGGCTCTGCTGACACCGTGATCTTGGACTTCTAGCCTCCAGACTGGGAAACAATACATTTTTGTAGTTGAAGCTACTCAGTTTGTGGGACTTTGTTCCAGCAGCCCCAGCAAACTAATACAATACTGAGGGTGGTTGGCTTTGTTTTTTTCCTTTCTCACCTCACCCTGTTCCCAGCTCTGGGACAGACTGTGACCTCTGTGTCTATGATTCAGTCATGTCAGCCTCTAAATTTCTGGAATTTAGAAGGAAAGGAAACCTTTACATAAAAAATGAAAAAGAGACTATGAAATTCGATTGGTTGTCATAAATGTTCTGGGGTTGGAGGTGGGTGTCAAGGGAGAAAAAGGAAGGGATTATTTTATTTTATTTTAAATATATTTCTATTGATTTCAGAGAGGAAGAGAGAGGGGGAGAGAGATAGAAACATCAATGATGAAAGAGAATCATCGATCGGCTGCCTCTTGCCCAACCCCCACTGGGGTTTGAGCCCACAACCAGGCATGTGCCCTGATCAGGAATTGAACCATGACCTCCTGGTTCATAGGTGGACGCTCAACCACTGAGCCACGCTGGCTGGGCTGGGCTGAGGGAGGGATTATTTTAGACTTCATATCCTGAAACACAAAGCCTGAATTTCTGGAGCCCCCTTTACAGGGCACTCGAGGGATTTCCAAAGAGCCACTATCATCCGTTTCACCAAAGCAAAAAACTCTCGGGCCTTCCTATTCTCCTCTTCAGAAAAGAACTCACAGCCACCTGTTATATACAGCAAAACTCACATCTGCCAACTGCCTCTGGGCTGGTCTAAATCCAATCAGTGCACTTGCAGACTTCTGCTCCAGTCTTGGGCTTCGGTCTACATACAATAGAGCTATCAAGTCACCACTGACCTATCTGTGCAGGTTAAGGAATAACACTTCTTTAGCCTTTCATATAACTCTAATCCTCTAATCCAGCCATGACTCTAAGAATTGTTCTATGTACCTAGGGCCTAAAAGGAATCAGCTTGGCTTAAATGCAAACAGAAATGGTGGGGTGGGGGGTGGGGGGAGGCAGCAGGTAGGGAGTAGAGAGTATGTCCCTTTATTCCCCTGTCCCCTCCTGTTTGCTTTCCTTTCTGTAACAATTGGTTTTCAAGAAAATATGGGTTGTGAGGGGCCTTTGAGTGAATGGAGGTGTTTGGAAGGCAGCTTTGTGCTTGGTGTAGTCAATGACTACAGGAGGGAGGAATGACCCCCAACCCTAGCCCAGGCAAGGTGTCCAACTGTCCTGATACATTTTAAAAAATAGTAAATGTTCTAAGCTGGTAATTTTTGTTTCTGTTCTTTAGACTCATTCTTAAGCATTTGAAAACACACACACACACACACACACACACACACACATACTAGAGGCCCAGTGCATGAATTCATGCACCAATGAAGTCCCTCGAACTGGCCTGTGGGATTGGGATGAGGGAGGTTGGCCAGTTGGGAAGAGACCACAGGAGGGCTCCAGGGCATGTCTGGCCCGTTTCGCTCAGTCCCAATCTGCCAGATCCCGGTAGCAAGCTAACCTACCGGTCAGAGCATCGGACCCCTGGTAGTCAGTGCATATTATAGCAAGTGGATGAGCGGCCTTAGCATATCATTAGCATATTACATTATGCTTTGATTGGTTGAACAGACAACCAGACACTTAGCATATTAGGCATTTATTACATAGGATTATCAAACTATGATGAGGTATCCTGAGTTCCTAAAGAAGGTTGCCCCATGGTTCTGCCACTAACACATGCTATTATGCAGGGATAAAGAAGCAAATTCAAAAAAATTATGAAATACAAGGCAAGGGACCCAATTCTCAGTTTCTATAACTCTTATAGAGAACAGTTCTATAAAGATGAAAAGTTACACCAATATCAATAGTTGCATACATTTCAAATTTAGATTATAAACATAAATATGAAGACTGTCTGCTTTTATGTCTTATACTAGGCCAACGTTACCAACCATTCTCAATAAGCAACATTAATATTTTGATTTATTTTTCAGAATCCTTCGTAGAAGATAATTTCAAAGAAAATGAATAATGCGAAGTGCCAAGAAAGAAAGAATTTACAATGCGATCTGGAGAGAGAAGTAGTTTCTCCTGCTTAGGAAAAAAGATTGTGGGGCAAAAGGGAGAGTTTGTGGACAGTAAAAAGGAGAAAGAAAAGAAAGTACAAAGACTAGCCACAGGGCAGACTAGTCCACGCTTGGAAAGCTGAATAAGGAGACGTGAGAATAAGGAACTACGTTAGGGTTGAAGGCTAAGGCATGAAGATTCCTTAACCCTCATTCAGCAACATTTGAATCACAAGAAAGATCACACTTACCTAATGGTCTGATTGTGGTAACTTTTCAGATCCTGTCCAATGCTGGTGGTGACAACTATCTGTGGTGGGAGAGATACACAAGAATCAGTTCTGCCTCAACACCCCACATCATAAATATATCCTGGATAGAAATTACTCAAAATGGGATGCATAGCCTTTTGCCTGATCAGTTTCTGCAAAAATAAAATTAACAGTTTACTAGCCCTGTGTATATTTTATTTATTTTTTTATTTTTTTTTTTATTGCTTAATGTATTACAAAGGGTATTACATATGTGTCCTTTTTTTTTCCCCCTGCCCTTGCCAATCCCCTGGCCTCCCCTACCCCCCAGTGTCTTATGTCCATTGGTTATGCTTATATGCATGCATATAAGTCCTTCGGTTGATCTCTTACCCCCCTCCCTCCTGCCCCCTAACCCTCCCCGGCCTTCCCACTGCAGTTTGACAATCTGTTTGAGGCAGCTCTGCCTCTGTATCTGTTATTGTTCAAAAGTTTATAATGGTCTCTATTATCCATAAATGAGTGAGATCATGTGGTATTTTTCCTTCATTGACTGACTTATTTCACTTAGCATAATGCTCTCCAGTTCCATCCATGCCGTTGCAAATGGTAAGATTTCCTTCTTTTTTTACAGCAGCATAGTATTCCATCGTGTAGATGTACCACAGTTTTCTAATCCATTCATCTATTGATGGGCACTTAGGCTGTTTCCAGATCTTAGCTATGGTGAATTGTGCTGCTATGAACATATGGGTGCATATATCCTTTCTGATTGGTGTTTCTGGTTTCTTGGGATATATTCCTAGAAGTGGGATCACAGGGTCAAATGGGAGTTCCATTTTTAGTTTTTTGAGGACACTCCATACTGTTCTCCACAGTGGCTGCACCAGTCTGCATTCCCACCAGCAGTGCACAAGTGTTCCTTTTTCTCCACATCCTCTCCAGCACTTGTCGTTTGTTGATTTGTTGATGATAGCCATTCTGGCAGGTGTGAGATGGTACCTCATTGTTGTTTTGATTTGTATCTCTCGGATGATTAGTGACTTTGAGCATGTTTTCATATGTCTCTTGGCTTTCTGAATGTCCTCTTTTGAAAGGTGTCTATTTAGGTCCTTTGCCCATTTTTTGATTGGATTGTTTATCTTCCTTTTGTTAAGTTGTATGAGTTCCCTATAAATTTTGGAGATTAGGCCCTTATCAGATATGACTTTGGCAAATATGTTTTCCCACCCTGTGTATATTTTAAGACTTAAGAAATTTAACTTCTCTAAATGACTTGATGTAGTAAAAAGACATGTAAAGCAGTTTTTCCTGGTGGGTTTCAGAGATTTCCAAACTACAAGCCAAAGAGATAGCCGATGAATGTTTTGTGCTCACACTGATGTTTCTCTCTCTCCCTCTCCCTTCCTCTCTCCAAAAATCAATTTTAAAAGTCGTAAAAAAGGAAGGAAGGAAGGGAAGAAGGAAGAAAGGAAGGAAGGAAAGCAAGACGACAAGAAAATGCGTAAAATACTACAAGGAGTTTTTGAAATTTTTATCGAATTCCATGAAAGCCTTGGGGGGTGGGGGTGGGGGACAAAATGGATGCTGCCTGGCTTCACGCACTGCTGTTTCCCACCTTCTTTTCCCAAGTCATTTCAATGGTGACAGTGTTTGTGTCCCGGATGTTATTTGCTGTCATTAACTGTCATATATTCTTCTCGGTGTCTTGGATTCCAACACAAACCCCTGGAGTTAAGAAGCTCTTTCATCCTCCTGGCACTAGCCCAGAGCCAGTGTTTACCAAACATGTGCTGGCCTAACTAGGTTCTCAAAGATGTGCCTACAACACGGTGTCTCTGAAAGACAAACGAGCCCATAAAAGCCAACCCAATTCAGCCATCTACAAAATGAAGAAAATGACTCAAACCAGTGGTTTCTCTAAACCAACCATTCACTTTCATTCAATTTGTCCCTTTAGTCAAAGTGATGAATATGGCCATCCCACCACAGAGATGGATTTTGTGTAGGAAAACAATTAAGTATTGTTTCGGGACCTACATTTTTTAGGCAGAACTGATGGAATGGGAAGGAAACAGATAAAAAGTCTACTAAAAAAAAATCTTTTTTCTTTCCATCCCATCTGGCCTGCCTAATTCTTCTCTCCTGCTTTATCCAAGCATGTGCTCTGCCATTGAATCCTTCTCTTTAATTAAAGAACTACTTTGATTTACTCTTCTTCTGCTCTCAAAGCTTCCATGACACCCTGCTGCTTTGCAAGCAGAAACCCAAATTCCATGATAATCAAGATTCTCCACATGCTAGCCCTGAAGACAGTTTTTTCTACTATCAGTGTCCCGCGGTCTACAAATTTCTACTCCGGTCAAACTGGCTTCTCCGCTCACCCCCAGCGATGTGCCAAGATGCTCCCGGCTCTCCTCTGCCTCTCATTCTGCCCATCCGTAGGAACCTTCTCTGTGGAAGCTGCCCTGAGCATCCCAGCTTGAAGCGCTGTCTCTCGTCTCTGAATCAATGTGAGTCATTTGGCAATTAAGCTCACCTTATGACATTCCTTCACCCGCTTAATGTTAATCCCCAAAATAGTCTATAAGCTCCTTGAGCACAGTGTCTTGCATACAGCAGGTGCAAAATAAGATCTGTGATTTGCTCTAGCATGATTTGATACCTAAGTGACACACAGTACTAAGCTGACCTCCTTAGGAGAAAAGCAGCAACCAAGCTATGCCATCAACATCATCATGTAAATGAGAAGCTAAAACACGGACCACAGCGATGTCACCTAACATCGTTAAAGAAATAAACTAACATAAAAACAACCAACATCTCACAGGCTCTTCTCAGTAATGCAACAAGGACTGACCTGATTTCTTTTCTCTTCAGAAAAAGGAAATGAGATAAACCTGGCCACCGAGGGAGGTCTGCGTACCATCTAATAATACACGAGACACACAAGAAGTCTCTTCCAGTTTTGTTGCCGGAAAATCACAAATCAATAAGAAAAGCCGCTGAGAAAATAGAGTCACCAGGAAAAAAAGGTAGCATACTGACATTGTGTAGATTGAAAAAGGGAATTGTCTTCAATTATAACAGCGGATTTGCCATAATCCATAATATCTGCCTTATGAGAGTTTGAAACAGTTATGACAGTGTTTTATAGTATGAAGTAGATAAACACCCTTCGTCCCACTGGGATTATCACTTAGGTTTGTTAATTATTATTTGTCTGTTTATGCCAAACATAAGCAATTGTTTCAATTGCCGAAAACAGTCAAACCATTTCTTGACTCCACTAACTAATAAATTTCCTGTAAAAAAAAAAAAGCTGTAGATCCAATGACACTATATAAACATGGCTGGTGCTGTGTTAACATTTATCTCCACAAAGCCTACCTCGCCAGGGGAAAAGCGCTGGATTCCTCGGATAATTGTGGCTAGATAGCCGGCTATGTTATTTACTCGTTCACGGTATGGTTGAAAGAAGCACTTTAAAGAGCCAATTAAATGGGATAGGATTCTTATGATTTAAACTTCTATCCATAAAAGTTTGATTGAAAAAGTGTATAGTTGTAAGGAGTTTATCATTTGCCACAAATCTGCTATTAGAGATTGTCTTGCTTCCTGACTTTACAGCCATGCTTCACATTAAGTGATGATGCCGATAGGAGTTGCGGCGCAGCGTGCGTAGGTACCTGGCCTCCGTTGAACGAAATATCCAAGCGAAACCACTCCTTCAAAGGCAGGGTGAATTTCGTCTTTACCGCAAGGTCATCTCCTTTGACAAGATGCATTTGAATATGCAAGAGGCCTAAAAGGAAAATTAAACCTCATGAAAATGACCAAAAAAATTATATATATATGTGTGTGTGTGTATATATATATATATATATATATATATATATATATATATATATGAGTGAATGAAGTGGCTACCCCTTTTCAACAATTATCCTAAGAAGCTACCAGACTAGCTCACATTCCTTCTCCCTTTAAACAAAAACAAAGCCAAAAAGAAAAGAAAAAATTACATGCGTGCATTCCTTTGTAAAGAGACAGCTATTTTAAGCTTCCAGAAAAAAAAAAGTTTAATTTGAAGCCTGCATTTGAAAACCATCACTCTCACTAAATTGCCACGTTGACAGTATCTTCCTTATTCTAGACAGACATATATGCCAATAGACAGAGCATGAGAAAATGACGATATCGTTTTAAGGTTCTGTTTCATACTTACCCTCTTCGGTAAGAAATACAGAAGGCGTGCCGTACATCTCGTTGGAATCAACAAAGTACAGAATCCCGCAGAGACTGGCCTTGCAATAATGGAGTAAATAAAGCCACAATGAAACAGTAAACCTATAAGAGTGAGGGGGAGGAAATTATGCAGATTGGTATCATCCACACACAGGTAATTATAGTTAACAATGACCAAGTAAATTGCTTTCTTTTTAATGAAGGGATAGATCTGCCTTCGTGCTCATCGGGGAGATCAGCTTGCGAAGCTTGGTTTTGGAGACAAAGGAGGGATAGTTATAGAAACTGTAAAAGACAGGAGTTAAGCATCATGGTACTCAACTAGCAGACATTCTACCTGCACCTAAACCTCTGTTTCTGTGCCTCTATGAGAACCTCACATGCCTGCCATTTAAATTCTTGATTAAGTTTTCTAAAGCCAGACATAGAATGAGAATCCGGATTTTAATAAGAGGTGATTTGATAAGAAGCTATTCTAATTTCGATGATTAAAAGAAAAACATAATTAGGGCTTTCTGAGCAATTTTGTCTCTTTCAAAGATAAAAGTGTAAGGTAGAAAGAGCACCATAATCTGCAAATGGCATCACTATATGCTAACTGGGACACATATATACTATTTTAAGGCATACATTAGGGTTGAGTATCATAGTTCTGGCTAACCAATATGGGACAATTAATCTAATTATTTCATTTCTGAATTGGGGCTGTTTTAGTTGAACAGAAAAACTGTACATCTGTGATTTGTGGAGTGAGAATAAAATAACAGCCATCAACTTAACTAGGATAGATTTTAGCCAAGATAGAGGACCCATCAATCACTCAGCAAATATTTGCTGAGCACTTGCTTGATGTCACACACTGAGTGAATGACCAGCAGCTCAGAGATGAGGCAGGGGAGCAACTGCATTTTGCACATAAAACAGGAATCAAGGTCAAAACAAAGGCACAGAGTTCTCTCCATCACCCCAGTAACCGAGTCACAGTTTGGGGGTAAAGTGGCAGCGGCCTCAGGCTCTTTGGGGATATAGCCAAACAAGTCCTTTAGATTATTCTGGGCTTTATAATCTGGCCTCCAAATCAGTGGTAAGATATGCAGACAGATGGTGCCACACAGCTCCCTCCTGACCCACCCAGCTGAGCAAGCTCATGAAGATAAGTTATTACAAGGAAGCTTAGCAAGAACATACGCTCAGTAAAGTGACTCAAGATCTTTCTACAGCCAGCAGCCGGGGAAGAATTAAATCACTCTGCTAAATCCATCCAGTCTGAGGTGAACCAGGAACCATTTGCAGCATCTTTAATTCAGCAGAAGGGAAAAAAATATATCTGAGGTTTTGCTGAAATCAACGATGATCAGAAATGGTGCGATTTCCAGCAGTTCATCCAATCTTCCAAGACAAGAAAAGGCAGGACAAAGGCTGCAATCTGTGCTGGCTGTGGCTGGCTGCCCTCGAAACCCTGCAAACGCCTCAGGCCCCCACACCTTGCCCCCCACCACTTGTGTTTTCTGGGACCGTGACATGGAAGGTCTAAGGCAAATTGAGGGTTGGTAAGTGCAAGAATAACTCAAGAATATTTTGAAGTTTTCCGGTCCACAAACCCTGCCTAAGCATGTAGATCTCAACATTTTTTCAAAGCATATGACAAAAGGATGTTCTTGTCTTCTTAAGGGATTCCGGTCCTCAGGTAAAAGGAGCATGGCCAGCCCTAACTGGTATTCTCAGTGGTTAGAGCACCGGCCCACACACCAAAGGGTCACGGGTTTGATTCCAGGTCGAGGGTAGGTGCTTGGGTTGCAGTTTCAATCTCCAGCCTAGGTTAAGGCTCAGGTGGGAGGCAACCAATTGATGTCTCTCTCTCGCATCAGTGTCTTTCTCTCTCTCTCTCTCTCTCTCTCTCTCTCTCTCTCTCTCTCTCTCCCTCCCTCCCTCCCTTCCACCTCTAAAAAAAAAATCAATGGAACCCAACCAGTGTGGCTCAGAGATTGAGTGTGGAATTATGAACTAGGAAGTCACAGTTTGATTCCCAGTCAGGGCACATGCCTGGGTTGCAGCTCCATCCCCAGTAGGGAGTGTGCAGGAGGCAGTTGAGCAGTAAGACTCTCTCATCATTGATGTTTCTTTCTCTCTCTCCCTCTCCCTTCTTCTCTGAAATCAATAAGAATGTACTTTAAAAGATCAATGGAAAAATTTCCTTCGGTGAGGATTAACAATAACAAAAAGGGCACGGTCCCCCCAGCCCCCACCCTCTGCCCATTCTTACACTGGGTAATCTATCCGCTGGTGCCGGGTGGCCTCCAGCTCACGGTTCCGAAATCTCGGCAACTTCTTCACGATGCCTGTGTTCTCTCCACTGGAGGCATAGAGAAAGCCCAGGAGGGTGACCACATCTGCAAAAGACAAGACCGCTACCTTTCAATTATCTCCAGAAAAGCATTGCTTCCCAAATCACCTTCTTCCTGGACCCCTCTGCCTAGCTCCAGTCAAACACTGAAATGAAACAGTCTGCAAATCTTAGCAAACATTTCCCGAACTCAGACTGTATACCAGGCACACCTGCTCAGCACTTACAGAGCTATCCCAGTTAGTTTTCATAGCAACCCCATAGAGTAGATTGTATTATTTCCCCCATTCTACAGAGAAGCCCGAGGCATGGAGAGGTAAAATTACTTGCCTAAAGTCACACAGCTAATAACTGGTGGATCCACAATTCACGTTGCGAGCTCAGCTCCTACGTGCTTAACCATTTTACATGCTGTCCTTCTAATGTTAAGAAAAGCATTTTGAATTTGTGTCATCATAGTAAGCTAACACTTCAGCAGCATACACTATGGTCCACAAGGCTATAAAATAATAATAACTTAATGTACAAAATATATAAATTCATTTAATCCTCATTATTGTCCCCAGTTTACAGGTGAAGATATGGAGGAACAGCTGCCAAAATAATGACTTTTATTTAACACGTAGACTGTGCCCAGGCAATATGCGAAGCACATTTCAGGGGAAAATCTCATTTAATTTCACAGCAATCTATGAGATGGGGTCTATTATTATTCCCATTTAATAGATGCTGAGTCTTAGAGAAGGTTATATAATAAGAGGTGGAGCTGGAATTCAAACTCAAGCAGTTTGGGTTCAGAATCCATGCTCTTAAAATTGCAGAGTTATTTTTTTTCTTCTGTGCAGACTTTCCTAATATACTCAACACAATACCCTATGCAAAAATTACTAACCATACCCCTCAAAACCAAATAGAGAGCCGTCCACTTCATTTTGCAAATGTGGGAGAACTCTGTGGCTCTAGAAAAGAGGGTGTCCATAACAAATCTTAAGGGGAGAACTGAGTTACTTCATCTATATTTAACACCTATTGCTTTAAACAAGGCCAATGTCAATTTCTTATTTCCTATACCTCTCTCCCCGGAAAGAAGAATGAATTCACTAAACTCAACCTATTAATAAAGATCACTTTTCTCTTGCTTTAAAGTACTCCTCGGTTTAAATGTCCATGATTAAAATGGTGGAAATATTCTGTTTCCTTGGGTTTCTTGGAGAGGGAAGGTTTGATTTCTGTACAAGTTACCAAAAGCCAATATGGCACAAATTATGGGAGCCTCAATCTGGGATGATGAACACCTCAGCTCTCATTTCTCTATGAAAAAAAAAATGCATTTTATCAAAGAAAGAGGTACCTCTGGATCATTAATACTTAGAAATCATAGGAGTAAAGTTTTCATAATCTTGGACTTCTGTGTACATATCTAATAGAATTAAGTAAGCCAAATTCCCCCAGTGCCCACAAATCTACCTGTTTTGTTATGTAGAGATGCATTTGGAAACCCAGAAGGGTGGCGTTATCACTTCCAACAGAAACACTTCAAACTTTTTTTCTTTACAATTTGAGCTCAAGTTGGGCACATTGGTCTTGCTGGTCAGTAATGGGGATGGGGAGAGGGAATTAGAAATAAAAATACTCCAAGTGTGTCTTTGGAATCTGGGAGGGGGAAAAATCACCAAGAGGCTGATATCAGCCCAACCCTGGTTTGGCTTCCACGGTGTTGATTAGAACAGAAGAGACCAGATGGCCATGTCAGGCCCCCCTTCCCCAGGCCCTCTGCTAGCGATTGCTGCTGAGTTATCCAGTGGGTATTAGCAGCAGTTATCAAAATGAGCAGGATTTGATTCTGCCCGACCTGACTCCAGTAAAGGGCGGTTTTATAAAGGAGGCCTCCAAAGGGAAAGGAATGAGAAGTGAATGTTGACGAGCCTGCCCTTAGCTCAGGATCAAAGTAAAGCAGGTTGAGCAGGGGAACTTGCAGCAAAGACAGGGTGGAAGGAAAACCTAAGACCCAAAGATCTAAAATCATTTTACAAGAACACACACCTTCTGTAGCCAACAAGGCCAACGTGAGGGTGGTTTTCTTATAAAATCTGTAGCTTCAATCATAGTTCTATGATTTGGAGTTTCTACTGCAATTTCCCCTCAGTAGTATTATGTTTTTACATTCAATCAGAAATAATGAATGAGAATGAAGTTTTGTGGCAGGAAAGGACTTCCAAATTCATCAAGCCTAGGAGAACACACAGGATTCTTTTCTAGTTGTTGCCTGTGGCTGCTTGGAGTGCTGCAACTGGTTAGTGGTGGCTCTCCTAGGCACCAGAATGGGGAGTAACAACCCATGTCAATCACCAAGAAAGAGTTCACAGCTGGGAAAACTGAGCTCCAAAGAGGTGAAGTGGCTTGTCCAACCTCCTCTAGAATGTAAGCTCCAAGAGGGCAGTGATACTACGTCATTCATTGTTCCATTCCCAAAGCCCAGAACAGTGCCCAACACTTGACAGAAGCTCTGGAAATATTTAGTGAGTTCAGCGAATGAATAAACTAACAAATGACTATCACTGTGGCCAAGTCAGGATTTGAACCTCTCTTTGGCCTAACACTTTCCACAATGCTAGAATGTGGCCCATGCTGCCTAAGCCAAATAATAGTCTCTCTTCTTTCAGGTCCTTCCCCCAAATCCATTTCGCTGGCTTCTCTGGAATGAGGAAGTTGGGTAGGAAAAGGCCATCATTACGACATAAACACAAAATGCCAGGAAAAAAGTTCAGGTTTGGAACCCGCCTCCTTGACTGTTTTGTTTTATTTTGTTTTTAATATTTTTATTGATTTCAGAGAGGAAGGGAGAGGGAGAGAGAGATAGAAACATCAATGATGAGAAAGAATCATTGATCAGCTGCCTCCTATATGTCTGTCCCCTACTGGGGATTGAGCCCGCAAGCTGGGCATGTGTCCTGACCAAGAATAGAACTGTCACCTCCTACTTTATAGGTTAACGTTCAACCACTGAACCGCACCTGCCTGGCTGTTTTGTTTTATTTCCTCTAATTTTAGAGCAAGAACAGGCATTAGGTATCATGTGGTGCAAACTCCTTCATTTGAAGACAAGGAAAGTGTGAGGTCTTGTTGAAAGCTGTATAGCTAATAAGGGACCCAGGTATGACACAAACCTGGTCTCCCACTACAGACCAATGGGCTCGTTCTTAAACCACATCACATGTCACAAGGCCTCCCCGAGAACTAGGGCTGATGTCCAGCAGGCATGCCCCTGTGAGGCCACACTAGCTGTTAAATACAGATATATGTCCAAGGCCCCACCACCAGCCACCCACCCTGGCCTCTCCTTCAGGGTGGAGCCTGGCTCAGCAGGGCCCCAGCAAGGTCCTGTTTCAGCACTAGGGCTAGCGCCTGGGGGCTGACTGAGCCCCACCCCCCACCTCTTCCTGGTCATTAAGTATTTTGAATATCACCCTTGGGTGGGGTGGCTGGGACATCAAGTAGCCCATTGTCCAGTTCAGCTGAGTGACCAGAGCCCTAACAAAGGCACCTGCTCCGGGGAAGGTCCGTTTCCACGAAACAAAGCCCTACTCTGGGTGTGCATCAAACATGTCACAATAATGCGGCTGAGATCCTTTGGGCAGAAGTTAAGAAACAGTCTTGTTTCAAGGAATAACTATGACTATAAATCTGTAAACAGAACCTGGAAGACAACAAGCTAAGATTTTTCAACCTGGAGAAGGAAAGCTAAAGCGCAGGTAACTCAATAATGCTTTCCAAACACGGGGCATTAAAAAGACAGTGGTGAGTGGGGGTTTTATTTTCCTTAAAGCCGAAGACTGAGAACAAACACCCTACTCTCCAGCAAGTGCGATTTCGGTCAGAACTTTCCCCCAAAAGATGCGAGGCAGGGAAGTGAGTGACTAAGGACGTCTGTGAAATGTTCAATACAAGGAGTCTGAAGAATAAAATAAATTCCACTCCTAGTCATTTTTCCTCCAAACATACACATGTGTGCAAAAAGATACATGTACAAGGATGTTTGGCAAAACCTTGCTGTTAATAGTAAAAGAGTATAAATGACCTGCATGACCATCAGCAGGAGACAAGTTAAAATAAGGACCTTCGGGCAATGCAATGCTAAGCAGTTATTGAAAAGAATGAGGCTGGGCAGCACGTGCTGATACAGAGAAATCTCAGCTGCACTGTGAGTGAGTGCGAGGCAGCGTTTATCGTGCCCTCCCTCCTGTGTACGAAGAGAAGGGGCCAGCCACGTAATGTTCACAGGTGCAGAGAACATTTCTGGGAGGAGACACAAGAAATGAGTGCTACTGAGTTTGCCTCTAGGCACGGGGCCAGAAGAGTGTGGTGTGGGGGTGTGGGGAGTGGGAGCTTGCCCTTCCCCCAAACCCTTTTACACCATCTGAACTTTTTTAAACCGGGTGCATGCATTACTGTTTTGGCTAAAAGAGAAGAGGGCCATATTCTCTGAGCATTTCTGTTTGGCAGGGAGAAGGGCCTGGCCATATTCAGAGGCCTCCCCGCCCTGGGCCTTCAGGGACGTTCTGTCCACTTCAAAAAGACAAAGTCCAGGGGGCGGGGGGAGGAAAACAGGATGATACACATCGGTGAAAATTCAACTTAAAACAAAGGGTATTCCTTCTGGTTTGGAACCTGGGCTAGGACTGCATGGGCGTACTTCCGTAAAAGACTGAAATAGCAAAGCAGGAGCATCGGGAAGTAGGGCTCTAGTTAAACACACACCTGAGCCTGGGCTTCCCCACCCCCCACCCCCCACCCCCCCCCTAAAGAGAGGAATAATACTCGTTCCCACGGGAATATTTTGAGGATTAAATGAGGCAATGTGCATGGAAAAGGTGTTTGGAGAATCATAAAGGGCCATGCAGATACAAGGCATTAATTAGTGTTCTTACGGGAAAATTCAGACGACTGTGATTAACTGGGGGAAAAAAACAAAGGAACTAAGTCTTTCTTTTTCTTCTTCTAAAAGTGCCCAATACATAGTTCTTGTAATTACAGACAGTATCATCA